TTGGAATCTGCTGGGCTTGTCTTTGGTGGCCCTGGGAGATTACCACTGGCTCCGTGTTCCTGTCAGTTAAGCATGTGCTTAGCTCCAGGCGGGGCTTGTGAGGCGCTAGCGCTGCCGGGTTCCAAAGCTCAGACATGCGTACACCACACCTAGGATTTTGTCAAGTCCGTGTCTTACGTATAACACACCTATATATTTTGAATTTGTTTTATTCAATATAAATGCATTTATTGTGTTCTAGATAATATTTGGTAAATAAATTTCGAAAAATAAATGTCTTTTTAGTATATCATTTACAATCACTTCATGTATACTGATTGTATATATTCAAATGGAAAATGCTGGTCTATCAGTCAAAAAAATGTTGTTTTTAACATACTATATATATGGACCTTAATCCTAGTTCATCAGTCACTTGTTAATTTTTCCATCTTTAGAAAGTAACTCAAACTCTGAGTCTGAAGTCCATCATTTGTTAAAAGTATTTTTGAAAACTGCTTTTGAAAATTAAATGAGTTGGTAAATGCATTACGACCTGTCTTCCATGCACTTGATAGTAAAAACATAAAAGTTATTACATTCGCTTGATTTGCATTTATCTTACCCTTTGCAGACCTATTTTCATTACTCTGAGTCTTATGAAAATATCCAGAAAGGTGTAATTAGCAAAAAAATAAAACTTCTCATATATTCCTTCCTTTCTCAAGGACAGCGTCAGCTAGCAGAGGGACTCCTGTGAGCCCCTTGTCTCACCTCTAATCTGGCTGATCTGTGCGTCTGCTGGTTAGGGATTTTAAAACCCTACTGAACACAAAGCTTGAACCTATAGAAACTGAGTTTAGGAAATACTAGAATTGTGTTTTACATCAGACCACTTCTTTATTTCATTTTAAGCTAATTATTTCCTTAAGTATATGAAATAGGTTTAAGTGGTCCTGTAATTTAACAGATGAGAAATATGGGGCTTTATTAATTAGCTGATATTAGGGGTTATTTATGTATCTGACCATTCAGCATGAATAGAAAATTAAATGTTGATGATAATAAAACTTTCAACCTTTGAAAATTTCTAATAAGACCCCAAAGCATTTATATTCCTACCTTGTAATTTTGTCATCCATCCATCAGTGCAGCCAATTTAGCAAACAGATACTGCTCAGTTCCTGAACAAAACAGATACTGCTCAATTCCTGACTTTAGAGTGCTGTAAGCATTGAGGATATATAGACATCAACAATGTAATTTACGTATACTTAATTACAGTCAGTTAAATGTATGGAAATGCATTCTTCTTGAAGAAATTATATATAGGCTGAAAGCCTATATGATAAATCAGAATTAGCCACTCTTATGAAAGCAATAATTGCAATAATAAGGAGGAGGAATAAGGGGGAGGATGAAATGAGGGAGGAAAGAAAATTCTATTTTAAAATCTAAGTCTTACTAATTTCTCTGAACATAATGATTTTAGGAGGATGAAAGAATGGCTTGGAAAGAGATTATTGAAAGGTAGAGCTATGCATCAAAAATATTTTTGGTCTCCTTGATTTTCACTTTACCCAACATAGAAATTGATTAGTCCAGACACACAAGATGTTGAAAGGTGATTTAGTATAGCAAAGTGAACAGTAAAACATTCATAACTTAAAGGTGCTACCCTGGGGAAATTCACCCAAATCCAGGCTTTGCACAGCCAATGCATACATCTCTGGTGACTGGACCTCTGTATCCTTTGTTTTCAATCCCCATTTAAGGGAAACAGGTTTTAAACTGAGAGAATGAGAATCTCCCAGTTTTACAGGAGCAATATTTAATCCCTCATTCTGACTCTTGATAAGGGGCTTAATTAAAAAAATAATTTACAGATCCAAAATAAACAGAACCATGACCTCAAAAGGACAGTAAACTTCCAACATGTAGAAGCAATTTTGCCACCTAAATAGGATTGTGCTACCAACCTGTGCAATTGGAAGGTTATTCTTCATATGCCAAAAACTTTAACTCCTGACTAAATATTCCATGGAATTTGGGCAATTCTGCATCTGCCACTTGGATGCCACAAAGCAAGAAACTGAAAATTGAATGGCATCCCCCATTCTGAAGGGTCTGGAAATAACTCTTAGTTCGAAACAATGATAAAAAGAACAAAGGTATGAATTAACAATAACTGAAAAATTATGAGCATTATAGGCAGTGTGCTCAGCATTTGCTATACACTAGAACACCCAGTCTTCAAAATCCCCAAAGATCTCATATTATCACAGGGACACTGAGGCTCAGGACCCCCAGGATAGTTCTCCAATGTTGTGCAGCTGAAAAGGAGAAAAACCAAGACTCATGTTGTAACATATGGCCTCAAAGTCCTCAGTCTTAGTGACCACCTCAAGTTTACTCTAATGAGGACAAGCTGTATTATAATCTCAACCATCTACCATTGTAGAGCCATCTTGGGTACATGCTCAAGCAGAGTCTGGGTGACCTCTTTCACTATATGCTGGGAAGATTCCTACATCAGGTGCAGAAGGAACTAGATGTCCCTTAAACTTGAAGTGTGAACCAAATAGGAAATCAAATTTTCCTTTACACTGTTGACCTTCAGCAACAAGCAAGGACACTATTTATTATGCATGGGACATGTTCTTATAATTGAATGAGGGCTGGGACTTAGAAGAGGCGAAGGAGATAAATCATGAAGAGAGTGTGGAATTATTACCTTAGCCTGGCTCATTTGAATTCTGCCTCCACCAATGGTGGCTCTCCACCTGCCTTTGTTCTTCTTCCCTTTGCTACCTTACACTGATCTGAGCACTGCATGTCATTGTTGTCACCTAGACTGTCTCTTGTCTCTGTCTTTTGTTTGCCCTCACAGGTATTGATCTGTCTTCTCAGTCAGCACAGACTCTCAGTCAGGGACTTCACTAAAGCTAGATGACAGTCTGCAGAATCCAATGCTGAATGGTCTAACCTTGAGAAGGATTTCTGCTGTCAGTGGATGCTTCATTTAATGAGAGACACAAGATAAAAGAAACAGAAAAAAAAAAAAAAAGAACTAAGTCACAGCAAAAGAAGGACCCACACTGGGCCCAACATCCATGTCCAGGACACCAGGATGACAAATCTTATGAGAGATTGCAGTGACTTAGAGTGATAATGAGAGATAGGGAACAACAGTGGGGGAAAAATCATTTCTGAGCTTCAATCCCAAAGGTTAAATATCTCTTCATGACAAAGTATAATACACAGGGTTGAGAGAGGAGGAAGAATGAAAAAGGGTGTATATTCAAAGAGGTTTGGAACATAAGACCAAAATTGGGAAAGTTCCATGAAATAATTTAGTGTCTGGGAACAATGAGTCTAGAGACATCACTTGCTCTCATGCCAAGAAAAACAGTGAACTTGATGGATAATGGCATTCCCAGTAAAAGGAACAGTGGTGATTCTTTAGAATCGGAGGCCTCCCAAGACTACAGCCACAGGCATGCTAGTTGCTAGATGAATCTCTTGTACCGAGGTAAATTCATCACTCAAACCTTTTAAAATAAGCAAATCTGGGCCCTCCCTGGTGGTGCAGCGGGTTAAAGCACAGCACTGAGAATCTAAAGCCGCTTCCGCATGAGTTCGATTCCCGCCTGCCC